GGTTCAGACATGATTTGGCTCCTTTAGAGGAGACTGATATTCGGTGATATTCGGTGATAATTCAACTGTCTTCCTATGGCGAGGTTCACAAAGCCGTGCGTGTATTTTTGCAGTCGTGCAGTATAGGAAATGTTTTTCAGTGTGATATAGTCAGAGGTTGTATTTAACGGATGTCTGCAACGTAATAACAAAAATGATAATAAATTATTAATTATGATAATAATAGTAAAGGAAGAAGAAGAAGAATCCAATCATAATCATAATGTTTATATCCATATATGGGGGTGCTCTATCCCGTTCATCAAGTATAATTTCTCCGAGTGCTTGACATCGTCAAGTTAATGTGTAGACTACACGAGCTGTGCCAGGTTGAACTTGAAGTGTAAGTGTAAGTTACAGGCGGACATTTGTTAGAAAGAGGCTTATCTGTGAAATAATTAGGCGCGGGTGAACCTTCAAAGGAGAGATAGGTACCGTACCGTGAGTTGAGCAGAGGCACGCGTGTGTTTTGTGTTGACGTGGGCTGGCGGTTATCGGGCAGCTGTCGCTCCCATCTGTCGGTGCACGCTGACTTTTACCTCCTCGTCCCGTCAGACGAGAGGGCGTAGGTACACTCGGGTATGTTCCGACATAAATTTACCTGTCATTCCCAAGGTCAGTACAACCGAGGGGTGGTTGGAGGAGGTCACTGTTTTTGTCACTGGTGGCCGGTTGCTCGTAAGGTCAGGGTCGCTTCCAGTGTCCATCAATGTCGGTGGTCATATTTCTTTTTTTCTTTTTTTAAAACCGGAGTCTGTTGTGTAGCTGTTAAGCGCTTTGCTGTTGCTCCTATAAGACTTGAGTTCGATTCCCGATAGGGGAGAAATTTGTATCGAGTATCTCAGGTTTTCTGTTGTAATTCTGTACATGTATTCCTCTCAGCCCGGGTTAGCCCTGACAGGCAGGGTAGAAGCCTCTTCTGATCTTATACATGATGTCAGCGGTAGATTGTGAAGTCTCCTTGTTCGAGTTTTTTTCTGAATTGTTTCATGTGTTACTGTGTTCCTACTCAGTTTCAAGCGAAAAGTTGCGTTTCGAGAGAGGAGTTGTCGGATACTGCGGCTCAACAAAATCAATAGCAACAGCAACAACAGCAACAGCAACAACAACAATAACAGCAATAGCACCAACACAGCAAAAACAACGACAACAACTACAAGCAATGTTATCTCACGTCATTGTTGTTATCCTGTGTCCACAGACGCTGAGTTTGCCACACCGGCGCCTCGTGTGCTACTGCCGCCTGTACGAGGTGCACGACCCCAGCAAGAAAGAGAAGATTGGCCTACATCAGAGAGAGGTCTTCCTCTTCAACGATCTCCTCTTGGTAAGCCTTTTTTCTGTACCATTTACCTCTGTAAAGTACGGTCCACTTTCTCCACTGCAGTCTGGGTTTTTTAAATTCTTCTTGCGTCTGTCTGTCTGTCTGTCTGTCTGTCTGTCTGTCTGTC